TTCTTTTCCATTGTGTTTCAATATTCAATAGTTTGACAGGTTTATCCGCTGTGCAACCTTTGGTGGTTTTAATTTTGACATTTTAGGTCAATTTTAAAACTACGTTCGTGTGGGAAATAACCCGTTTTCCCCAACACACACAAGATCTTCAATCGATTTTGCGCCTAAGACGAAGAGTCGAGGGGCTTGCTAATGAGGTTAGGAAATACTTAACCTCTAGGAAGGCAGTGAGAAAGTCAATCTGCAAGGCCTTGAAGAACTTGAAGCATATGGAGAATAAACTTAGCAAAGATGGTGAGACCGGAGCCGTGATTAGCACCTTGAAACAAGCAGAAGCAGTAACCGTCAGCGTTCTAGAATCCTTGTTGTCCTTTATTTCAGGGCCAGATGCTGAATCAAAATCGAGCTCATGCTCATGTGCAAATAAGCTCGAAAACTCAGAGATGTGCATCCAAGATCTTGATGGTCTTGAAAGCTTCTTCAGGAGGTTGATCAAAGCTAAAGTCGCTGTTCTCAACATCCTCAACTGTTGAAATCTAATTGTACATAAAGTATAACTTATATGTATAGAATTGTTAAAAAAATCATAACTATACAGTCTTCTTTCCACAGATTCTGTCTTTTCTTAGCTTTCAAGAATGCCTATGGATGCATTCAAGTAAAAAAAATTACATTTAACTTTCACATTATTACTAGCACTAGAGGTTTACAGATAGTTTTACCAAATGCGACTATCTTAACTTGGTAGATGAATTATAGAGCCACTATTATTATATTTGTTCAACAAGAATTCAAGATTTATGAGATTTTTTCTATGAACACCTGAGCTGCCGAGATTCCTGTTATTCCGTTGAAGAATTGAAACACTTTGAGCATCACATGGTAGATACAAACCTCACACTCTTTAAGCAAATCTTGTCTGCCTCCTGCATGACAAGAGATTCAGGACATATATTAAACTCAACCATGATAATTGCATATACATTTTCATGTGCATGCTAATGAAATTGATCAAACAATAATGACCGCGTAAATAATTGAGGCTAATGACAAGAGATTCACTGTTGTAAGCAACTTTAAAACCATTCGTGCATATAGTATAATATTATCTCAGGAATGAGACGCATTATGAATTCAGTGATTAAAAGAATATTGTTATGAGTTGCCGGACTTGTTAGGAGGGAGACATAGCTTGAACCGTGCTGAGATAGTTGTTGAGATGGGTGTCAAGTGTGAGATGCCTTATGATCATTCAAAATCAGGTTATGATCCACTTACACAATGTAAAACGTTTTAGTTTATACAGATTTAGGACCGTTAGGTGAGTGAAATAAATGGTTGAGATCGACTTATTATTTTTTTCTAGTGAATATCTTTCATTTCATACTGTTAATCTCAGTCATCTTTTCCCACATCCAACAATCCTAAATTTGTGTAAAACTAAACGAGTTTTACATTATGTAACAAGATCCTATCCTCTGTGTGTGTGTATATATATATATGGTACTATGGAACCAGTGCTTTGTTTATTTTACTTATGCATGTTTCTCATTTTGATCTTCCTCTTTTTTGTATTTAACCATCTCTTTCAATACACTAGAATAAACCTTGTAACTCCATGTGTTAAGAGAAAATGCATTTAGCATTCATGTGTTAAGAGATTTCATTGGTTATCACTCCACATGAAAAGAACAAGATCTAACCTTATCTAGGACTCAAGTTTGTTGTTTTAGTTGTTTTCTTCACATCTTTCCAAGTAAATACATCATCTCTAGAAACCAGCACAAAGAAGTTCTTTTCATTCACTTATATAAACTCTTTTAACTACAAGACAGAAATTAGATTATACCCTTTACTCACAGAAGAAAGAAAGCTACAAATCTATTGTATTCCAACTTCCAAGGAGCACCGTTCCTGCCAGTATCGGATAGAAACTAGTAGTATATGTTGCAGCACTCGTGCAAATATTTATTTGTTGCCTTTGCCTTATTTCGATTATAAAATGTCAACAGTTAACTTTTGCATGGCCAAAATCAACTGTTATTCAACATGATGATTCAGATCATAAAAGAAAAATACAGACAAGTACACGCTTTCCTTCTCAGATTATATTGTACAAATCAAGAAAGCAGATCTTGCCTCCCTTTTACAGAGCAAATTCAACAATAACGTCATAATCCTGCATTCTGTCTTGGCACCATCCTGTGTATTACTATATTATTAAGATATGGGTGATGAGTTGTTCTGATTGTGGAGAGCAGACAAAACATGAAGGTGTTCGTGATATCGTGTAGATCTATTTCAACTCCACGTTACTTATAATTGATATTTAAACCTGATGAGATTCCTCTTGTCTCCCTCAGCCTGTTATATATATATATCAGCAGATGGTAATGGGAGAAGGCAGCAAATTAGCTTGAGTTAGTTGAACACAATTGAAGGCCTTTTCCTTCTCTATAACAAAGACAATGGCTACCTCTCCTTTGAATGTCCAGCTTTCTTTCCATGCTCGCTCAAACAGCTTGCCTTCAAGGCAACACCCTGTCACTTCTCAGATCGATGAAAATCTGAACCGACTGAGGACATCTCAGTCGGCTTCTACATCATCATCGTTAGGAAATCAACTCAACTGCCTTCAAGATTTGTATGACTCTGTTGATATGTTGCTTCAATTGCCACTCGCTCAACAAGCTCTGGCTCAAGAACAGCAAAGGAAATTGGTTGAACAACTTCTGGATGGATCTCTCATGCTTCTCGATGTATGTGGGACGCTAGAGATGCCTTGTCCCAAACAAAGGAATGCACACAAAATCTTCAATCAGTTTTCCGCCGAAGAAGAGGAGTGGAGGGGCTTGCTAATGAGGTTAGGAAATACTTAACCTCTAGGAAGGCAGTGAGAAAGGCAATCTGCAAGGCCTTGAAGAACTTGAAGCATATGGAATAAACTTGGCAAAGATGGTGAGACTGGAGCCGTGATTAGCACCTTAAAACAAGTAGAAGCAATTACCATCAGCGTTCTAGAATCCTTCTTGTCCTTTATTTCAGGGCCAGAGGCTGAATCAAAATGAGCTTGGTCACTATTTCGAAGTTAATGCACCAGAAAATGGTAACTTGCGAGGAAGAAGAACAAAAAACAAATGAAATTGCAGATGTTGAAGCAACATTGCGTTCCTTGATTAAATCTGGAAGCATGAAACATGTTGAGAATGTGCAAAAGGAGCTGGAAAACTCAGAGATGTGCATCCAAAATCTGATGAAGGTATCGAAAACTTCTTCAGGAGGTTGATCAAAGCTAGAGTCACTGTTCTCAACATCCTCAACTGTTGAAATCTAATTGTACATAAAGTATACCTTACATGTATAGAATTGTTTTGAAAATAATAATTATACAGACATCTTTCCACAGATTCTGCCTTTTCTTAGCTTTCAAGAATGACCATCGATCATCTTAAGCCAAAAATTATTACTTTTAACATTCACAATATTGCTAACACTAGAGGTTTACAGTTAGTTTTACCAAATTTAACAGCTGAATCATTTGTCAAACAAGAACTCAAGATTTATAAGATTTGTTCTATGATGCCTGAGCTGTCCGGATTCGCATGAAGATATGGAACACTTTGTTAAGTTTTAACTATTTGACTATCACATGGTATGTACAAATATCATGCGCATTAACCAAATAAAATATGCGGATTAAAGAATGAATATGATCTTTAATTACATAAAAAGAATGAAAAGAAATTGAATACATAATATATACACGCTTATTTATCGCTTAATGACAGTCTAATGGCTGTCTCTGAGTTATGCTTAGTTACAGCTTAATAATCCAGCATGATCATTAAACTACGTCCATTTCCTATAAGTTGGCAAAATGTACAAGTTGAGCTCCCAGATCTTGCCTTCTGCATGACGAGATTATTAAAAAACTTAATAAACTTAACCATGTTAATTCCATACACATGCTAATGAAAATGAATAAATAACTACGTAAACCAGTGTCAGATGAAGACCCCTTTCTCCAAATAATGAAGGCTACACAATATAAAACTAGCCACTCTAGGGAATTAAGCAATTTTAAAACCATGATACATTACAGTGCACTAATTAAAAGAATCATGTTATTAGTTGTAGGGCTGGTTAGGAGGGAGACATTGCTTGAACCATGACGAGATAGTTGTTGAGAGAGGTGTCAAGTCACTTTACCACATGACTGCAACTAAGTGGGTGAAGTTCTTCATGTTTGTCTCCTCCTTCATAGAATGTATATATTGGGTAGATGAAGGGGAGAAGGCAAATTCCTAGATTAAATTCAGATACAAACTTCTAATTTTTTTTCCAGAAGAGATAATGGCTTATTAGCATTTTAGTAGATTGGCATAATCTGAGTCGGCATCTACATCATCGTCGTTAATCCTCAAACTCAATGGACATTAAGATTAATTTTAGTAATATTTTAAACAACATTAATTTTTCATCAATCAAAGTGACATCTTCGGTTTAGTTTACGATTAAATCATATAAGGATGTTACATAAACGGCTCGGTCACATGAGTGAAAAGGTACTTGATTGCCTTTGATAAAGTAATACTTTTATTTCTCTACATTTATAAAGCGTTTAGGGGTTAAAAACTAAACAATTCCATAGCGTAATCTTATCTCTAACAATGAATTAAGGTTGACTTCGTCTGATTTTATAAGGTTGCTATTTAATTAGCATGTAATAATTACTTATAAGTGTTTATTTTTTTTGTCTGTGCGTTAGGATGATCCGAGTATGTGTACTTGCAAGCATTGCATTCGAGTTGGCTTGATAATAGCTTCGATTCGATTGTGTTGGTTTGATATAAAGCCTTTTTGCCATTGAGTGGTCATAAAGAGGTTTTGAGTCTTTGTCTCACTTAATGGACGGGGTTGGCTTGAGCGGTTTGACTGAACGCTTTCCGGAGTTCATTTTACAACACAGATGCAAATTACTTAACACCTATGTTAATCATTTAAAACTTAATAGAACATTCCTGTTGGTAATATACTCACCTCAATACTAATTTCTGCCTGAGAAAATCAGCTGCATGCTACAGCGTTGTGATGACACTGGCACTGCAGCTACACGCTTGGCTTTTCCGGAACCCTAATCTGTGACATAAGCACATCCGGCGTTGTCGATTGAAACAACTAGGAAACTCGTTGCTGCTGCTGCTGCGACTGATTTAAGTCGACATGAGATGAAACTCGAGACTGCTGGAAGGGAAACGGAAGTCCGATAGAGAGTTCGAGATTGATTTGTGGGAAAACTTCTTCACGACTTAATCCACTGCTGCTGCTTCCGTTAGAATCTTCAGCTGAGTCTGCGCCTCCATTATCTATGTTGGCAGGCACTTGCATCAATGGCATCACGACTGTTCGTTTGTATGGAATCGATTAACGTTGCTGCTGCTGATACTGTTACTACAGTTATTGCTGTTGTGTACTTGTTTTGTTCGTGCTGGAAACCGAACCGAGTGGACTGTGGGTTTGAGGATCGATCCCTCGGCTGTACAGCTTTCTTTTGATATGAGTGTTCCAGTAGTTCTTGATCTCATTGTCCGTTTCTTCCCGCAACCTTGCAGCAATCAAAGACCATCTGCAACAAAACAAAGGCTACCCGGTTGAGATTTTAATGTGATTCACTCATATGATCAAGGAGAAAAGATGAGAAAAAGAACATACTTGTTTCCAAGTAAGCTGTGAAGATTGATGAGACTTCATCTTCTTCTTCAGTGAAGTTTCCTCTCTTGATCAGGCCTCAGGTAGTTTATCCATCTAAGCCTACAACTCTTCCACACCGAAGCAAACCTGGAAAAATCAGTCACGTTAACCCTAAAAAAACAAGTTGAAAACGCTTCAGTGCAAATTAACATATGATGATAAGGAAACGAACAGACCAGCAGCTTTGGGGAGAGATCTCCAACAGCCTTCACCATAAGTTTGATGTAGTTTAATGAGGCGTTCGTCTTCTTCCCTTGTCCATGCACCTTTGTTGGTGTGTTCTTTCTCACAACAAGGAGATCTACCATGAGGAATATATGGGAAAATGGTGATGAGTGGAAAAAAAGGAAGTGGGAGGGGAATATAAACTGAGATGATGTGCCTGCAAATGCTGTTGAATCAGGGCCTCTTTGTTTTGATATTTTTTTATATGCCAAGGTTTTCGACCGAGTTTGGTGAGTAGTGGTTGCAAATAAGTTGGTGCTGGATTTGATAGGTAGCTCTACTCTTCATTATACTTTTTCTTAAAAGATTTATATATTCATCTTCTTAATTTAATCATTATAATTGCAATATCTGATAACATGAACAAAGTTAGGTCAATTATTAAAGATATTGTTCTTATTCTTAAAAGTCTTAAATTCAAGCACGATGTCTGTAGGAATGTTTGAGCGTTCATTGTCAAATGATTGAAAGTATTTCGAAGAGATACTACCTTATAATGATTAATAAAAAAATTATAGAATTTGATAAGTAGCTCTACCCTTAAAAAATCCGAAATTTAAAAAAAAACTTAATAAAAATAAATTGAATCAAAATATGATGAATTTAAATCAAATACTTATCCCTAATCATAATTGAATAAAGATTTACTCTAATTACATGTATCATTCTTCAAGAAATTTAGAATTTACTTTACATATTAAAAATAGAAACTCATATCTTCTCTTATCATCGCAAATCTTTCCTCCACCATTCCTTTTGTTCGTCGTTTGATTAATTTTCATCGTGATATGAAGCCATAAAATGGACTAAAGTAATGATTTCACCATAATCTAGGGACTAGGGTTATGAATAGGGATGAATAAAGGGGTCTAGAAGAGATATAGCCCTCCTAAAAGGAAATCATTATCGTCTAAGAAAAATGAAATATTTCAAGTTTGGACGCTCTAACGTTCTCTTTTTTTAATTTCGACAATCTCTTCGTAAAACCATCCATCCATCCACCATTTTTGACGTAAAGGTGAAAAAAGAAATGGATCGTTGTGATAAATTGTAAAAGTTTGAACACTATAATTGTAAAAATACAAAATAATTGTGGTTATTGTACTGAGCAAGGACATCAAACGCAATTAGACTTAGAAGTTATTTGTTTGGCTCTGAGTGTAACCATTCAACGTTGAATGCTGAATCGTTTAGCATTCAGCGTGCTTGTTTCTCACCTCTGAATAATTCAGTGCTGACTGATTCAGCAAAACAGTGTGAATGATTCAACATCAAAATACATTCTGAATGATTCAGAGCCATTATCAAACAGCATGTCACATTCAGAGCTAATTCATACAGAGAGCCTCTGAATCATTCAGCTTCTGAATCATCAAAATTAACATTCTAAATTAAACAAACAACCCCTTATTTTTTTCCATATCCTTTCTACGATATGGTCGTACTTTCCACTCTTTTTCTATTTTTTCTCTAAAATATATTTATAATTATTAAAGGCTTCTAGAAGACCATACCAACTTCTCCACTCACACGTCAATTTCGGTAGACTGGTAACTCTTTCTAATTTTTCTTAATAGTTTTACTATTTTAAACATTAAAATAAACAGATTTCTGTAATTAAAGTTTATATCATATATTTCTAGAAATTATAAATGCATATTTATCATCAAATTCAAAAAGTTATTAATAAAGAAATGAGTGCTCGAGGTATGGTTAAGGTGAAAATGAGCTCTCTTTTTCTTTGTGTATTTAATTTAACCGTAAAATTAAATTAATTTAATTAAAATTGTGAATGAAATAAAAAAAAACTGGCTTGTGTTGCTTTCAAAAGTATTGAATTCTCAAGCATGGGTGGCCCCTGGGTCTGTTATACCCACTACCCAATTAAATGGAATGAATGAAATAAAAAAAGAAACACATAATAATGAAATGGACTGATAAACAAATTCTTATTCTTTTTGACAAAAAAAAAATGAAAGTCATTTTCAGCCATCCAATGTTCTAGAAAGGAAGTATGTCATTACAGACCGCCCATGCCTTCAGTTATTTACATTATTATAGGAATGGTTGGTCATGTATGCTCATCTCCTTTTCCCTGGTCTGTTATACCCACTACCCAATAAATGGAATGAAATGAATAAAAAAAGAAACACATAATAATGAAATGGACTGATAAACAAATTCTTATTCTTTTTGACAAAAAAAAAAATGAAAGTCATTTTCAGCCATCCAATGTTCTAGAAAGGAAGTATGTCATTACAGACCGCCCATGCCTTCAGTTATTTACATTATTATAGAATGGTTGGTCATGTATGCTCATCTCCTTTTCTTTTCATTCTAACCTTCTAGAAACATTTTCAATTTAAAGAAGAAAAAAGCAACGATAATTATTGTGGTCCAAAGAAGAAAAATTAAAGCTCAATTTTGGAGATCCTCTTGGGTTAGGTTATCTACCCGCAAGCTTTTCATACTTTTTTATTTAAAATTATGTGAATTTAATTTTTTTTAAATAATGTAAAGTGATTAACGTGTATATATATATATATTGCTGACATAATTGTTTGAACTTAAGTCTTTTAAGATAAATAATATTTCTTTCATTACTGAAATCAATTTAAATTTTAAAAATTATATATAAGATTAAAAATATTTTGTCATCAATTGACAATTAAATAATCATCCCTATTTGAACTTTTGGAGTGGTCTCAGTGATTAAGGAAATTTTTTTCTCCTTTAATGATTTGAGTTCGAGCTGCATAATTTATCGGTGTGCACGAATTTAAATCTATTCTTTTACCTTTCTCATCAGATTTATGAATTAAGCAATTTGTAAATTATGATTTGAATTATTGGTTCAAATTTTAAAGCATGGTGGGTTATGATTGAATATGAGAGGAGAAGGAAGGTGTATCCTTAAAAAAGTGTGGTTTGTTGTTGTGGAGATAGGACCTTTTCTTAATTATTGAAAGATGCGATGGCGCTGCTCACATATTTTGTTGGTAGGTAGGAGTAGCAACTGAAGTTTCCACTCGTGAGAACGAAATTTTGATTTGAAATATCAATTAACCAAATCCCTATAAAATAGTAAATTCGACGATCAGATTAAATGCGCGAGCAGTTTGACATTCACAGGTTCTCCTCCCCAGCTAAGACAATTAAACTCGGGTCTTGCCATTGCTTATCCATTTTGTTTGAAATTTTACATGATTCGGTTTTTACTTATTTTTAAGGGCGAGAAGAAGAATAATTTATCATAAATTTATAGATTATGAATGGCACGAATACATGAAATCGTGGTCAGCTTCCATTTGCATGAAGCACGACTGTTGTTTTTCTATCACACTCACATATGAGTTTAGAGTATCGACGTACTATTAATGTTGTTGTCCATGCCTTCGTACATTGGACACCACTATATACATTGCTATATTTCGCTTACAATAGTTTTAACTAAATATCTATTAATATTCTTAATGGTATTATTTTCAATTAAACTATATAATTCTTATCTTTAAAAAAATGTTATTGAATCTATTGAGTGACCTCATACCTTAATGATTAAATGGAGTATTGTTTTTCTTTGAGATATTATATCGAACAGCTTGTCTACGGAGTATATTATTAATATTAAGAAGAATTATAATAAACATTATTTTATATAATCATACTATTAAAATAACGATACGTAACCCTTACCATTTCAAACATGACAAAGATAGAAGAAAGGAGCTATGTTATTAATAATGTACTGGGGACTAGAAATGTTCCAGATTGACTGTTAGAGTGGTTGGATTGTTCCTTTGAGTTCAAGGGGCCATGTCCTCACCAACATATTTCCATTGATTCAAGGTTTTGTTTGCACTTGGAATTGCATATTAAAATATTCAGTGCAGGAGTAATTGCAAGTAGGCTGCATGTCCTATTCTTCCAAGGTACATTGTACATATATTTTAAATTTTACTCATAAAATATTATAATAATAATATATTTATATGATATTGTCAATAAATTAAAAAATGATATATAATTTAAAAAAATGAAATTAAACATACTTAACTTTACTTTTAAATATATATTATTTTCTAATTCACTGATAATTGATAATTTATAAAATTATGATATTAATAATTTTAATAAAAGAAATACAATAAGTGTAATAAACTTAAAAGATGTCTCATTAAATCCCATGCGTAGAACAAAGTTTTCTACATCAGCAATACCAATAGAAAGCAATATTTAAAAGCAATAGGAAAAACGTCGCAAGAAGCGCCGGTCATACCAGCGCCGCTAAAGTTAGTGACGTTTGAGAATAAAAAACGCCGCAATAGGTCAAGATCTATAGCGGCGTTTTTTTAAAACAAACGTTACAAAAGGTCAATATCTATAGCGGCGCTTTTAGAACAAATGCCGTAAAAAATCAGATTTATAGCGGCGATTTTGATACAGACGTTGTAAAAGATTAGATCTATAGCGGCGTTTTTGGAATAAACATAATATAGAGCGATCAAAGAATGCATAAATCATTCTTACACTTACAATCATAGACCAATCTTATTATTTATATTAATGACAACTTATTATATCATTAAATGATATAAAATTTTATTACATAAATGATGAAAAGAATATCATCATATTAGTAGTATCATAATATATCATTACCTATTAATATTTATTAATATTAATAGTATGAATGATAATATTACGTTACATCATTTTATACTTATATACTTCTTATGGATGACAATTAGCTATCTCATTAATCATAAAATATTTATATTAATAACTAATTTGTCTAGAATTTTTAAACTTTTTAAAATTCTGTATTAAAAATCATAATTTTTTAACAAAATTATAATAAAGGATCACTTTTTATAAAATACAATAAAAAATAAACTTTTGTAAATTATAATAAAGGCCATTTGTATAGATTAAAATAATGATTTGTACTTTTGATAAATTATAATAAATGTTCATTTTTTAAAAAAAAATTATAATAAAAATCTAAAATTACAATAAATGTCAAAACCCATGATGGAGAAAGTTGAAGATTTAGGTCTGATAATGGGGATTCAAAACATTATCCCAAAACAATCATTCTTACACTTACAATTCACAGACAACAGTGACATTTTTATGAATGCAGAGAAAGAATATGAAAGGAACAATGCATGTACAATTTTGGG